AAAAGGGAGCACAATAAGAATCACAATAGAATTCCTCAAAACACTTAACTTCTAATTGAAAGCAAGTTTTTCTGTTGAAAAACACTTCAGCAAAAAACTATAGAATAAACTACTCACTAACTTTGCTCTAGATTATAACTTTGGATATAATTTAAATTTAAATAAAAACTAAAAACTGCAGTTGAAACTGTTAAAAAAGCTGTTTGAATGCAAAGTCTGAACGTACCTTCTTTGGTAAGGAGACGCCGCTCTTCATCGGTAATGTCAGTGTCAATTATGCGCGAGTTTCGAGTGCCATGCACTGAGCTGTTGTTGGCGGCGGCGGCGGCGGCGGCAGCGGCGGTTACGGCGGCAGCGTTGACAGTGGCCAGTCGACCTTTGGCAGTGCTGTTTCCGCTGGTCGCTGAAGAAGCGGTGTTGCTGCTGCCCAATGTGTGATTGCCCCCATTAACCAGCGTACCGGAAGAGCTGGTGGCGTTGAGGCGTTGAAGGCCCTTGGCCTTTTTGCCAGCGGCTCCACAGGTTGGCAGGTGACTTGTGGCGGTGGTTGTGGTTGCCGAACAAGCGGAGGAAGAAGATGCTGAGGAAGAGGCTGCCGTTCCTAGTGGGCCTCTACCTCCGTTCAGGTAAGCAGTTCCGACTGTCTGGGCAGTGTTGCTGCTGATGATGATGCTGTTGCTGCTGTTGTTGGTAGCGGTGCATTCGACGCCTGGCTCCGTTTTGATGACTACAGTGGCCGAGGTGGTGCTGCCGTTCACCGTTCGGCCGCCTGCAATGGCCAACTTTTTGCTGCTGATGTTGCTGTGCATCGGTGTTTGCCGCTTCACTTTGCTACCTCCTGCCACAGCAGATCGTTTACCAGCAGCAGCAGCAGCAGAATCGGCTTTGGCCGATGTGCCGTTGCCACAGTTGCCACCAGCGGTCTTTGTGCGCATCGCTGCTTTCCCGGCGGAAGTTGAAGTGGACGCTGAAATGGTGGACGAGTGGGCAGTGCCTAGGGAGAAGGCGGAAGAGCCAGCGCCCGTACCCAGGCCGGTGGAGCCGCCACTGGCGGAGGACGCACTGGAGCAGCTGCTGGTGATGCTCGCCGGAGTGGGCGGGTTGATGTCCCAGTTGCTCAGAAAGTTCTCCAGCATGTCCGGCTCATCGTTGCTGCCGTTGTGGCTGTTGCCGGCTCCGGTGTAGCTGAAGGAGGAGAAAAAGGGGGAAAGAAAAAGTGGCAGATAAGGTTAAATATTACCAAAATCTCAATTAGAAAAGACAAAAGAGTGCAAAGGCTTACCTGAGATGATCACTAAGAAAGGAGACGCCTGTTGCCGTGTGCTGTCCGGTGTTCAGACCGTGGTTGGTGAGATGGCTATTGTGGTTGCTGTGGTGGTGGCCTCTGCCACCAGTAGTTGCGCCCACTGGCGATGTAGAGAAGGAGGTGAGCGAGCAGTTGCCCGAGTCGACTAGCAGACCACCGGCGCCCGACAGGTCGCCGTCAATGTCAATGTCGGCCATTGTGCTCAGGTGGAACTCGCTGTGATCGCCAAAGAAGGGCTCCAACTTCACCCGGACATTGGAGCCGCGTTTGCCAGAAGCAAAAGAGGCGGCGGCGGCGGCGGCGGCGGCGGTGAGAGTTCCGTGTGCATTAGCCGTTCCGGCAGAAGCAACAGCGACGGAGCTGCTCGGCGAGCCACTGGAGGAGTTGGGCGACAGAGAGCTGGCTGGTGAGCTGGAACTAGTGGAGGGAGATCCGAAGCTGGAGGTGCAGCCCAGTGCGGCCGATGATGAGTTCGGCAGCTCGGGCGGTGGGTTGAGATACTTGTCCTCGGAGAGGTCATCGCCGCTGGCGCCAAACTGCCACGCGTCGGAGAATATGTCAGAGTTTAAATAGCAGTCTGGGCCATTGATTTCTGAGAA